AAATGATACAAAACATGTAGCATATAATTTGTCATTTTAATTATTCTGAAGTGTTATCATTCACTGGCATTAAGTACATTCAGTGTTGTACACCCATAACCACTATCTGGTTCTAGAACTTCATCACCCTCAAAGGAAACCCCCTGTCCACTGAGCAGTCACTCCCCACACCCCCTCTCCTACAGTGCCCTGCAGCTGGTAATCTGCCTTTGGCCTCCATGCATTTGCGTATTCCAATTTCTTGAAATTCTTGGAGGGTTGCAATTTCTTCACATCCCAGACTACACTTGATATTTTTCAATTTTTAAATTTCAGCCATTCTGGTGGGTGTGAAGTAACATCTCTTTGTGGTTTTGACTTGTATTTCTATAATAACTAATGATTTTGAGCATCTTCATGTGCCTTGTATATTTTCTTTGTAGAAATTGTATTCAAGTTCTTTGCCCATTTTTTTGATTCTTTGTCTATTTCTTGTTGAGTTGCAAGAGTTCTTTATGTATTGTGGATACTAGATCCTTAGCAGATAATGTGATTTGCAAAAATTTTTTTCCTGTACTTTGGGATATCTTTTAACTCTTGTGACTTTTGATATACAAAAGTGTTTAATTTTTATGAAACCCAGTTTTTTTGTTTTTCCTTGTACTTTGAGTTTCAAATCTAAGAAACCACTGCTTACCTCCATCTTGCCTTCTAAGAGTTTTATAGTTCTAGCTCCCACATTTAGGTCTTTGATCCATTTTGAATTGATCTTTTCATATAGTGTGAGATAAGGGTCCAACTTCATTCTTTTGCATGTGATACCCCCTTGTCTCAGCACTATTTGTTGAAGCGACTATTCTTTTCCCACTGGATGTTCTTGGCACCCTTATTGAAAATCAATTGGCCATAGATGTATGAGTTTATTTTTAGACTATCAATTCTGTTCCACTGATCTATATGTCTTTTATTATGCCAGTACCATAGTGTTTTGATTATTGTAGCATTGTAGTGTTGATATCAGGAAAGTATAAATGTTTCAGCTTTGTTCCTTTTTAAAGATTATTTTGCTTATTTTGGGTCCCTTGCAATTCTATATGAATTTTAGAAATAGTTTTCCATTGTTGTAAAAAAGGTTGATGGGATTTTGATAGGAATTGCTTTGAATCTGTAGATGATTGTGAGGATATTGCTGTCAACAATATTAAGTCTTTCAATCCATGAATACTAACTATAACAACAAAAAAAAATACACAAAAGGAAATGATGCCATTTAAAATAGCATCACAAAGAATAAAATACTTTGGAATAAATTTAATCAATAAGGTGTGAGACTTGTACACTGAAAACTACAAAATATTGTTGAACTATGAAAACTGAAATGAATAGAAAGACATCTGTGTTCAAGAGAGGCAACTGGTTTTTGTGTGTTGATCCTGTACCTGGCAACTTTGCTTTACATGTTTCTAGGAACTTGTCCTTCTTAACTAGGTTATCCAACTTGTAGATGTACAATTGTTCATATAATTTCCTAATGATCTTTTTTGCTTCTTTCAGGTCTAGTATTGTCTCCACTTTCTGATTTTAGGAATTTGAATAATTTTTTTCTGAGTCACTCTAGCTAAATGTTTGTCAATTTTGTTGATCCTTTCAAAGAACCAACTTTTGGTTTTGTTGGTTCTCTCCATTTGTTTTCTAGTCTCTGTTTTATATTTCTCTTCTCTAATCTTTATTATTTGCTTCCTTCTACTATCTTTAGCTTTAGTGTGCTCTTCTTTCTCTAGTTTCTTAAGGTGGAAAGTTGGATTATTGATTTCAGATCTTTCTTCTCTTGTACTGTGGGTATTTACAGCTATAAATTCCTCCCTGACCACTGCCTTCACTTTATCCCATACATTTTGATATGTTGTATTTTTTTTCATTCATCTCCAAGGGTTTTCTAATTTCCTGTGTGATTTCTTGCTTATCCATTGGTTGCTTAAGAGTGTATTGTTTAATATCCACCTATTTGTGAATTTTCCAGATTTCCTTTTGTCAGTAATTTCTAGTTTCATTCTGCTGTCAGAGGAGATACTTCCTAAAGTTTCAGTCTTTTAAAATTTATTGAGACTTGTTTTGTGGCCTAAACACATTGTCTATACCAGATAATGAGCCTGTGAACTTGAGAATTTGTGTTCTGCTATTGTTGGGTAGAGTGTTCTGTATATGCCTCTTGGGTCTAGTTGGTTTACAGTGGTGCTCAAGTTCTTTTTATTTTCTTTATTGATCTTCTGTCTAGTTCTATTCATTGCTGAAAGTGAGGTAGTGAAATTTCCAACTTCCCTTGTATAACTACTACTTCCTTTAACTCTGCCAGTTTTTGCTTTCTATGTTTTGGGGCTCTATTGTTAGGTATGTATGTGTCTATAATTGTTATATTTTGTTGAGGTATTGATCCTCTCCTCAATACATAATATCTTTGTCTCTTAAAAAACTTTTTAAAGTCTATTTTGTCTGATAGCAATATAGCCACCTCTGCTCTCTTTTGGTTACTGTTTACATGGAATAACTTTTTCACTTAAAATCTAGTTGTGTCTTTGGATTTAAAGTGAGGCTCTTGTAAACAACATATAATTGGATCCTTTCTTTTAAAATCCATTCTGTCAATATCTGCCCTTTGGTTGGAGAGTTTAATCCATTTATATTTAAAGTAATTGCTGATATGGAAGGACGTAATTCTGCTATTTTGCTATTTATTTTATATATGTCATATCTTTTTTTTGTTCCTTAGGTCCTCCATTACTGCCTTCTTTTGTGTTTGATTTTTTTGTAGCATGACATTTTGATTCCCTTCTCATTGCCTTTGCTCCATATTTTTAAATTATTTTCTTAGTGGTTATCCTGATATAAAGGGTTGAAGAGTGGAGTGTCTTCTAGAACTTTATGTTCACCTGGAACCTCAAAATGTGGCCATATTTGAAAATAAGATCTTTACAGATGTAATTATTAAGATGCAGTCCTATTGGGTTAGGGTGGACACTAAACCAATGATTGGTGTCCTTATAAGAAGAGAAAACAGACACACAAACAGAGGGAGGAAGGTCATGTGATGACTGAGGCAGAGAATAGAATGATGCATTTTTAAACTAAGAAATGCCAAAGATTTTCTAGAAAGCACCAGAAACTAGGGAGAGATGAGGAAGGATTCTTTCTTAGAGCTTCCACAATTGTGACCCTCTCAGCACCTTCATTTCAAAGTTCTAGCCTTCAGAACTGTGAGAATAAATTTCTGTTATTCAAGTAACTGTCTGTAGTACTTAGATATGGCAGCCCCAAGAAACAATTACACTTGAATATTATAATTGATAGAAAGCTTAGCCTTAGTAGTATATAAAACTTTGGTTTTATACAGCTCCATCCCTCCTTTATGTTGTTACCAGAAATTATATATTTATATGCACATTGTGTGCCATTAACACAGATTTACAATTATTGTTGTATGCATTTTTCTTTCAACTCATGGGCAAAAAAGAGGAATTAGAAACCACAAATACAATAATACTGGCTTTTATATTTACTTATATAGTTAACCTTTACTGGTATTTTTTTTCTTTTTTGTATGGCATTAAGTTTCTTTTTTGTATGGCATCTAGTATCCTTTCATTTCAGCCTGAAGGACTTCCTTTAGCTTTTCTTGCAGGGAAGATCTATTAGTGGTAAACTCCCTCACCTTTTGTTTATCTGGAAAATCTTAATAATTGTTCCACATAGAATTCTTGGTTGACAGCTTTTTAGCTATTTAACTATTTCATCCTATTGCCTACTGGACTCCATGGTTTCTGATGAGAAATTGGCATTGATCTTATTAAGGATCCCTTGGATATGATGAGTCACTTTTCTTTCGCCATTTTTGAGATTCTCTCTTTGTCTTTTGGCAGTTTGATAATGTGTTTCAGTATGGCTGTCTTTGAATGTATTCTACTTGGAATGTGTTAAGTTTCTTGAGTGTGTAGATTTGTGTATGCAATCACATTTGGGGAGTTTTGACCATTATTTCTTCAAATATTCTTTCTGCCCCCTTCTTTCTGTCGTTTCCTTCTGGACTCCTATTATGTATATGTTGGTGTGCTTGATGGCCTCCCATAGGTCACTTAGGCTCTGTTATTATTTTTCTTCATTCTATTTTCTTTCTGCTCCTCAGACTAGATAATTTCAACTGATCTATTTTCAAATTCACTAATTCTTTCTTCTACTGCTCCAGTGTGCTGCTAAACCCACCAGGTGATTTTTTCATTTCAATTATTGTACTATTCAACTCCAGAATTTCTGTTTGGTTACTTTTTATCATTCATATTTGTTAATTCCTTCTTTTTCTCCATTGGTGGGAAAGGATCAAGAGGCTGACCCCAGTGTCAGTCACCGAAATTCTGTCTGGGGTGTAACAAATTCCTGCATGCAGGGTAGTAGCTGTCTATACCATGTCCCCCTTAGTCAGGAGCAGTGGTTTTTTATTTATTTTTTTGATTTCTTTACTAGGAAATGATCAGGGAGACACTACCCATTCTTCCAGATTGCTCAGAAGGGGAGGCCTCCTGACAGCATTAAAAGTGTCACTGGTTTCAGAGTTCACACACTGGCTCTGCCACATCCTTGTGGTGTGATTTGGAGGAGACAATTTCTCTCACCTTGTGTTCCTTATCTGTAGGGTAGACAACCCATCTTGGTTTGCTTGGGACTTTCCTGGTTTTAGCATCAAAAGGCCCACATTCTGCAAAAACCCCTCAGACACAGGGAAAACCTACTCATTGGTGAGATGGAGATAGTATTATACACACAGGGTGGTTGTGAGGAATGGAAAGAAGATACAGGAAAGCACCTAGGGCATGGTCATTTAGTTGTTACTTATGCAAAGTTCGGGGGGGTCTTTGAAGACTAGGAATGATGTACCAAATAGCTAACACTTTAACATGTAGACTTACTTGCCACAGGGCACCTGAGAGAACCTGGAGGGTTTTCTGTTAGTTCTACTTGACCATTTCTGCCAGCTATCCTTCTGGAAACATCGCCATGTGTCAGATCCCCACGTGCTGCAAAGGGAGAGCCATCACTTGCCTCTTCAGTGACACACCCAGCTTCTCCTTTCTGGCTCTGTTCAATGCAGAAGGCCAGGGCTGTGTTCACTACAACATGAAGGCCCGGTGAGTAAGTTGGGGGAATCCTGTCCCCATGGAAGTATCTCTGGGGTAGTGAAGGGGGGAACGGAAGTAGTCCTTGGGAAAAGGAGGGGCCATCAGTGTCCAGAGGTCTATGAAAGCAGTGAGGCAGGGCTGAGGTAGGTTCTGGAGGGATGCAGGCACTTTGGGGACTGGTGCTCACTTACTGGATCCACATCACAGCAAATGGAATGAGCCACACCTCAGGTTCTTCTCCACTTGTATCCCCAGAGCACTGAAATCTTCATTGTTGGCTGGATTGATGGAAGAATTCTTTACTGTTTCATACCAGGAGAGAGTGGAGAGACCATGGGCGCCCCTTCGTTGGCATCCTTTAAGAGAAGCACATATTCTTGTCAACCAAAAGTTGATTTTATTTAGCCTTTCATAAAGAACTATTCTGGGAAGGAATGACTGAACTGTCATGTTATAAATGTCCCAGTTCCCATTTTGGTGCCCCCCTTGTATGCTCAGGATCCTGGGAAACAAGCACACATTCAATTTCTTTCCCTCTTGGGTTTGGCCTGAGCCTCGATCATCTCCCTCAGACCCATCCTTCTTGACAGTCTCCCCAGCCGCATCAACAGGTGAAGGGGCGTCAGACCATACGAGGTGGGGGAAGTGCGGCTGCCTCTGCAACTTCGTGACTCCTCCAGCCTGGGACAATCTCGAGCCTTGCCTGCCTATAGCATGTAGTGATGAGGGCTTCCTTAAGGGCCTGGCAGCAGCTCCTCATCTCCATATCTCCTAGGTGCCCGTACGTCCTGATCTTGGATGAGGAAGGTGGGACCACCAATGACTACAAGGGCTTTGTAGTCCACAAGTGGAGCTGGACTTCCAAGACGGAGACTTTGGTGTCCCTGGAATATAAGGTAGGTGTGGACAGCACAGGTGGGGTGGCCTCTGCCGCCTTCCCCAGGCTGCCCAGAATGAAGAGCCAGAGAGTTCCCTGTAAGGCAGGTGCCCTGCCCTCAAGGAGGTTGTAGTCACGATCAGAGGTTTCCAGGTGGTGAGTAGTGGGCCAGTGCTGGCTGAAGTAACTTTTAACCAGCCTGCAGTAACTACTGGCTGCTGTACTGAAATATCTTGGTAATATCTTTCCTATCTTATTTCTGTTATTACATTTTGATGGCTAAGATGTCCTTTATATTACAAAGTAACCATTAGAGTAGTTGATAATTTTATTTCCAGTGCCTGTATGTGGTAATAAGAAAAGTTAGCAATTCTATATTGGTCTGCCCAGGTTTTATCTGTGAAATAAAATCTGAAAGTCAAAGGTGGCTGATAGACATAAACTATTTTTCCCCATTCATTTGGGTGTTCAGGCAGGCATTCATCAAAGACTTATTAAGTGACAAATTAATGTTGAATTACTAATATTAATAATGATAAATTTAATTTATTAATAATGTAATTAAGTATACTTGTCCCTTTATCTAAGACAGGGTTTCTCATCCTTGGTACTCCTCACATTTTGGGGTGGATAATTGTTTATATCAACTGTGAGTTGTAGGATATTTAACAGCATTCTGCTGGATGCCAGTAGTATCTCCCTCCACCGAGTTGTGACAACCAAAAATATCTTCAGACATTGCCAGATGTTCCCTAGGAGACAAAATCATCCCTGATTGACAATTACTGATCTAGGGGATAGAAAGATAAGTAAGGCATAGTAAAACTACAGGGTAGAGAAGGATAAGGGTCATGAGAACGGGACAAGCTCATAGTGTTGGGATTCAGGGAACGGTCACAGAACATGGAGTCCACTCAAGGTGGTTTGAGGTTAAGGCCCCCAAGGTAAGGGCTATGCAGAAGCACTCTTGGGGTGCATGGCAGGGTTCAGGCTCACTGCCCCAACCTTCTGTCTTGTGCCCTTCCTGTTCATCCTCCACATTGCTTCTAAATATCCTTCAATCCACAATTATAACACAGGGCCATCAGACTGCCCTCCTGTCTCACACTGCTTTTGTGAGAACTAAATGAAATATAGTGGGGAAGGTGCTTTGGCATCATTTAAGATTTTCAGTAGTGTATTTCAGTTCATTGCTCTCTACCCTGGAGAATTACCACACAGAAATGCACAGTAGGGGCTGGTGCAGTCAGACGTGGCCTGGAAGGCAAGGTGGCCCTTGAGTTGTAACATGAGTGTGTGCATTATTCATGTAGATAGAAGATGGAAGGGAGGGCATTCTGGATAGAGGGGGCAGCATGTGTGAAGGCTTGGAGTTGGAGCTCACGTGGCAGCTTGAAAAGTTCACAATTGCTTCTTGTAAAAGAAAGGGGAGCAAGAGATGCATATGTTGTGGGATGGAGGTGAGAGGTTGTTGGATGTCAGGCTGAGGAGTTTGCTTGCTGTTGGAGGCTTCAGCAGCCAGTTTCTTTTTACCAGGTATTTGCCTTTTCTAGCGTTCTTCATTCCTCTCTGAAAATCCAAGTTTTCCTCTGGTATCATTTCTCTTTAGCCTTGAAGAACTTCCTTTAGCATTTCTTGAAGTGCACATCTCTTGGCAACAAATTCTCTGTTTTCTTTCATGTGAAAAATGTCTTTATGAAAGGACATTTTTGCTGGATATGGGATTCTGGGTTGATGGTTCTTTTCCTTCCATCTTTTTAAAGATTCTGTTCTACTGTGTCCTCCATAGTTTATGATGAGTTACTCACCTATTTAGTGAATCATTGTTCATTTGCTCTAGTTGCTTTCAAGATTTTATCTATTCTTTGGTTTTCTGAGTTTGACTATGATGTGTCTGGGTGTGATTGTCTTCATATTTATTTTGTTGGAGGTTTGCTGAGTTTCTTGAATCTAAATTCATGCCTTTGACCAAATTTGGGAAGTCTTCTGCCATTATTTTAGGGAAAAAACTTGTGCTCCAGTCTCTCTCTTCTTCTTCTGATAATCCACTTACATGTATTTTAGAGCTTTTAATATTGTTCCAGGGTCGCCAAGGCTCTGTTCTTTTTTGTTCAAATATCTTCTCTTCTCAGATTGGATAATTTCGGTGGATCTGTCTCCAAATTTGCTGACTTTATTCTGTCATCTCCATTCTTCTCCATTCTGCTGTTATGCTAACCTGTGAATTTTTTAAATTTCAAATAATGCATTTTTATTTTTGGAATTTCCATTCTCTTTAAAAATATTTTCTCTCTCTCTGTTGAGATTTCCTATTTCTTTAAGTCATTACAATTTTCTTTACTTCATTGAGTATAGTTAAATTAATTAACAGCTTTAAAGACCTTGTCTGATAATCTCAACATCTGGGCATCCCAGACAGGATTGGCTCACTTCACTGGTTCTTCACATATTGAGTAATTTTGAATTGCTGACATTGTGAATATTGTATTGTGGAGTCTCTGAATTCTGATGTATTTCTCTGAAGACTGTTGATATTTTTGTTTGAACCGGCAATGAACCTGGTTAGACTCAGACCACAAACTATGTCTCACCTGTAGTGGGCAGCAGCTCAAATCCCAGCTCAGGTTTTTGTTTCCCTAGCAGTGAGCTGTCTTGACAATGCCCTGCTCATGCATGGTTTGAGGATTAGCCAGAGATGTGGACAGTTTACTCAAAGAACTTGGGGCTCTGGCTTTGTCCCTTCTGGAATTCTCTCCTTGCTTTTCTGTGACAGTAGTTGTCCCAGGTTCTGTCCTTTGGTTCTTCGGGTCAGAAAGATGGTGTTGTCTGGCTGTGGCTGGTCTGCCTTCATGCTCAAGCTGTAAAATGGAGGCTCATCCATAGTGGTTCTTTCTTTTAAGTTTTGATTCTTCAAAATCTTCCTGCTTTTGTTTATTCTTCAGAGCCTTGGGTAGTTCTTTTTGGTATTTTTTTTTTCAAGTTCTGTTGGAGGGTTAGCCATTGACTGTATCGGAAGTGTAACCAGTTGGTTAGTGTTTAAGCGGAGGGCTGGATGCTTGGTCCAACATTTGTGTGGAAGGTAACTAGAGAGGGCAAGATCAGTGGATGGGCTGGTAGAAAGACTAGTTAGGGAGTTACCAGTCAGACCTGACATGATGAAGGGTGGTAGCAATATTTTTTAAAGGGGCCACTTGAATAAAATAATTCAGTGGCACTCAGGCATGGGCTCTAGAGGATAAATGAGAGGGGGAGGGAATTACAGATGACTTCACAGTGGGGATGACTGGTCTGGGTGGAAACAGAGAAGTTTCTGAGAGGGTCAGAGATCAGTGTGGTTGAGCTGATTGGACTCAGTGGCCATATCTCTCTGGGCTGTTGTGACATAATCCTCACCTGCGGTGAGAGTTCCAGGAGGCGGATATATGTGACTGGGCGGGCTCATGAGCTCCTCAGGAGATGAGCAGTGACTGAGTTTGTATAGTACCTGTATCTGGGCCTTTGGGGAGAGGAAGAGAAACTACCCAGGCAACAGGGATAATAAAAAACAGCTATAATGTGCTAAGCCCTGTGCATGAAATCTGCTCGTGCCCTAGAAGGAGGATCCTGTTGTCCCCCAGCTCAGAGAAGCTAAACATCCTATAATTGCCCAATTGGTGAGTGGTGATACTGAAATTTGAACCCTGTCCCTCTGTAGGGTGTGAATTCTCAACTGCAGCTCTGTGCTACCTTCTGAAGGAGGACAGCAGAGGGTAGGGTTTTATCTTCAGGGAGAATGATTGACAAGTTCGATAATGTCAAAAGACTTGGCAAGAAGACAGTCATAGATTAGATGTTTTCAGGGTGCTGGAGGGCACTAGCATCCACCTTACAGAGTATAAGGAAGGGACTCAGTGGTGAGGAAACAGAGTGTAGACTGAGTGGAATAGTAGAAGGAAATGGAAAGGGGGAAATAGAGAATGTTTTCTTAGTTCCAAGGAGTTCTGGGGTATGTGTAGGTCGGGGACATTAAAGATGGAAGGAAGCATCACCACACAGCATTATAGGGCTGTAGACCCCTAGATCCTTGGGTAGGGCCATGTGCATAAATAACTCCCTGGATGTGAAGTGTCCAGGGCTCATATGTGTGAGTTGCCCTGCCAGTGTCTGCTTATGTGTGGTGTGGGTCTTTGTGGCTTAGGAAGCCACTTCCATCATCTTTATCTCATTTGAACCTAATTCTGGCCATTTAGCTATTTCCTATTAAAGAATTTGAGCTTCAGAGAGGCTCAGGGGCTTGCTAACAGGAGGCAGAACTGAGGCTCACCTCAACCACAGAGTTGTCAGTGAGGAGTGAGTTGCTGTATGGCAGCCTGCCTTCTCCAGTCTCAGGGACTGTGACACAGGAAATCTCACCCTTTTGGAGTGATGCAAAAGGCTGGCTCCTTTGGCTTCTCCTCGGAGGAAGAGTAGCAACATGTTTTGGTGACTGTAAAGGAGTGAACTGAGCATGTGCGGGTCAGCCCCTGCTAGGTTCCCTTTTGCCGCTTGCCCACCCCCCTGCAGAGGGGTGCATTCTGGTGCCCCCTGCCACGTGGTTTGCTTCCAGGGCAGCTCTGCATGCTGTAGGGCAGGCTCATGGCCAGACCTGGTGCCTGGGTGGACAATTGTCTGACTCAGGGAGTGCTGGCTTCTGACCCAGGTTGCACCCCGTCCAGCTCTACCAGAACCAAAGCTGATTCACCTGTTGACTCTGTCTCATTCTCAGTTGATTTCAAGCTTGGGTTGGAAAGGAAAGAAAAGGGGTAAAAAGGGGTAAAAAATTACTTTTCTGCTAATTCCCCAAAGAGACTGGAATTATTTTATCTCTTTCATGAAATCTAAATGAACTGGAACTGGAAAGAGCTTCAGTTTCACTCTGCTCCAAGCAAGAGGGGTTTTGTGCTTGTGGTGGGTCAGGAAGGGGTGGGGTCCAGGGAACAAAAGAAGCGCGAGCCGCTGAGCATTGGTTTCTCCATCTTCAGGTGAATGAGCAAATGAAGCTGACGGTCCTGGGGCAGGACTTCATCACGGCCACCTTCACCTCCCTGGGCGAGACAGTAACGCTCACCGTCTCAGCCAGCAACTGTCCCCACGGGGCAGCACATGGTAAACGGGTAAGGCAGGGGAGGCCGGGCCCAGGTCTTCTTGACGGGGGCTGCCCGCTGCATCGCCGTGCCCACCACCACGCACAGCCCGCGCAAGGCCCTACCTCTTTCTCTGCTGAGGGACTCCTTCTCCTTCACCGTCTGGCCTTAGTTCCTCCATCTCTAAAATGTCTGTCAGGAGTCTCAGTTTGATGGAATCCAGTTCAAACTAGCTGATGACAGAAAAGATCCTGTACTGACTAGGAAACTGAAAAGTCTATCAGTCGGCAGTTTCAGACATGGCGGGGTCCTGGCCCTCAAGTGATTCCATCAGATCCTCCCATCTCTTGACTCTGCTTTCCTCTTTGGCTTTATTCTCAGGGAGTTTCTCTCCTTATGGTGGCATCTCTGGGCTCACTATTCACGCATCTTTGGCCTCCCCAGGAGGAGGAAGGCTTCTCCTTCCATGTGGTCCAGCAGAAGGGCCACCACTGGCTTTAGTGGCTGCCTGTGCCGGAAATGTTCCCTATGGCCAGGAGTGCATGTTGCTTTCCTGGGCCAGGCTTGAGTGCCATGTTCTTCCTGGGAGCCAGGGGTCACAGTCAGCCCCGCATATACTGTCTGGGCAAAGAATGAGGCAGGAAAACCACAGTGTTGTTAGCAGAAGAGGGAAAGATAATACCAGAGAATAGCTACGAATGTGTTGACTCTCTCCACCACCCCCTCTCCCTGCAATGGGAGTGTGCCTCTCCCTCCGCTTGACCATCTGTGACTCACCGCTATTCTAGCATTCCTTTATTTACAAGCCAGTCTTCTCCACCAAATTGGGAATTCCCTACCAATGTCTGTTCCCCCAGGGCCCAGCACAAGACCTGCTTCAAATCAAGCACTTAGTAAATATTTGCTGAAAGGGTGAGAAAAGTGCCAGACTGGAAACCCAGTTCTTCCATTTACTGGGTCTTTATTGATCCTACTGTGTGCCTGGTCCCAAGTCAGCATCATGGAGAGAGATGGAGAGGGTGAGGGGGACGCAGTCCCCTATCCCTGAGGAGTTTGTAGTCTAGAAGAGAACAGTAGACAGACACCATGAGCCTGGGATAACTGAGGGCTCACTGATGGAGCAGGCCACTTGCATTGCACACAGGACACTTTGCTGGGATTGGCTCACTGGGAAGGCTCCTTGGAGTAGGAGGACCACACCTCCCAGTTTTCCTGGGGCCAGTCCCAGTTTATACCTGTCAGCCTGGAGGATTTATTAATAGCACCCCTTTCACTCCCAAAGGTGTCCCGGTTTGGATGATCAGTTACACGGTCATCCAAAGGGCAGTGCACCCTCTGTGTTCCTGTCTGGGACTGATCAAGGCTCTTGGGCTGCGGGGGCATTAGCTGCTGCCTGCCAGAGGCTCGTGGACTCACAGAGCTGACAGAGTCCATGAAGGAGCAGCCAGCCCAATGTCCCCACTTTGCATGTGGACACAGCAGTCAGGGGATGTTAGGCACCCATGTTTTTTTAATAAGACACAGAGAACACCTGTGTTTCTCCTGGAAGAAAGTGTTGCACCTGTTTTCTCCCTTGCATTTTTCATTTCAGCAGCATTTCAACTTAATTAATTCATTAAATAAACATCTATTAGCACCTGCAGTGTATCAGGTTGGCTACTGAGGATGTAGAAATGGAAGAAGTCTCTCTCTAGTCTCTGGAATATTTCCTGCCTAATGGGAGGGACAGAAACATCAGTAGCAGTTGTGATCCAGCCAGATCAGTATAGTGTGCCAGAGAGCAGGGCACAGGGGGAGCTGTGGGGTCCCAGGAGAGAGAATGCTTGTTAAAGGTGTTTCACAGGATTCCCCAGGAGATGCAGGTGCCCATGACTTGCACTTACTTGTTCGTTCAAGGAGGGAGATTACCCCAGGATTTTGAGTCCATCTGAGGTGGCGATTGTGTTTATGCATGTGCCCGTCCTGTCAGTTTGGTTCCGTGCTATTACTCTCAAACTCATTGTTAGTGATTAAGTACATGATGTCTGAGGTCACATGTCCCTATTTCTTGAAAATTTTTTTAGATTGTGTAAAAACTTTTAATTTACTTTTCTTATCAAAGGCAACAGATATTAGAGAACCCTTCTTTCCCTAAAAATCACAGAATGCTTCATTTTGCTGATAACCTCTTTTCTGGTAACTCCTGAAGTTTGGATCACAGCTGAGAACATAAGTAGTTAAAGACCCCATGAGTGGCCAAAAGACATCAATCTATGTCCAAACATGCCCTCTAGGTCTAGGAAAGCCACTCGGTAATTGAGGTCTGACTTTTTTCCCCCTGAATTCAGCCTTAGCAAGCTAAAACTAGAAGTCCAGAGCTCTTTTGTCCAGTGTGACAGCCGCCAGTCACAAATGGCTATAGAGTCCTTGCAGCGACAAGTCCAAATGGGGTTTGGACATGAGGGAAATACACACTGCATTGCAAAGACTTAGTATGAAAGAAAATGTGAAATTTCTCATTAATGATTTATTTTGATTCTATGTTGAAATAATCATATTTTTTATATATTGGCCTAGATAAATATGTTACTAGAAGTCATTTCACCATCTAACAATGTTTTTAATATGGCTACAGGAACATTTTAAACTACACATGTGGCTTGTATTATATTCCTACTGCACCATTTCAGTCTAGAAGGTGGTGTCTCTATAAGGGAAGCTCACAGAGGCAGTTTGACAGTGTAGTAGAAAGCTGAAAAGTTATTTAAAAGGACATCATAACTCAAAAAGCATAACTGTATTGGGGAATCTAGTGTATAGATAAGCAGACTAGTACATTAAAATAGCTTCTGCGAACAGTGCTGCATTCTAGTCAATAGCTGCTGATGTTGATGAGAAGTCTGACTTGCCTAGAAAGCATCAAGGTTGTAACCCCTTCTGTTTCAAATTCAGGGAGGTGTTATTATATATTATAGCTCTCTTAACTAGACAAACAACAGCAAAGGAAGAAATATCAGATTTGTTGTAGGTAACAGGATTTCTAAGTATTGATTTTATCTGCCAGGTTAAGCATCTCAGAATCTTTTTACATGAAATCCCAAGTTCAGAAATTGGCTCATCTTAGAACTTGGACCATAAGAGCTGCAGAGTCCCCAAGAAAACTTGAGTGTGGGGCAGGTCTAGCTAGGCTAGGAAGACGCCATAGGGCCTTGGGCCAGTCCCTTCTCATCTTGGGCCTCAGTTTCCAATCTGTATAGTGATGTAAGGACCAGCACAGCTTTTATACCCTCCCATTCTGGGACTTCTACAATCTGTTTAACTCTGTCCTCTGTGTATGTGTTTGGGGCTGGTTATCATTCATCAACAAAATTCACAGCAGTCTAGAAAAGCTAAGGGGTACAGTCGCTTTCTGCCTCAAAGTCCCTGTCACTGGGAAGCTTGTTAAATGGCTTCCCCAGACACCCATCACCCTGGGAGGAGCCACCCATCAGAGCGACAGGCAGAATGGCAATCCCAGCTTTTACAGCCCTGTGGCCAGGCTCCTCACTAAATATTTCTATCAAGACAGTGCTTTGGAAGCGAGGCAGTACCTCAATTTAAATGCTTTATTAGCCAGAGTGCTGCCTCAAATCCTTTTTGGAGGCAGTCTGGGTATAAATTACAAATAAATAAATAAAATTAGCCCAAAAGCAGTAGCTGTAGCTCACAATCAGAAGGATGGTTGAAGCTTTGCTATAAAATCGGGCATCCTTTCCAGAAGCCCTGTCTGCAAAATAAAGAAGGACACGTGGGCTGACATTGTCATTCTTCAGGAAATCTGTCCACAGTCTGCCCCACACTCTCTACCCAAGGCTTCAGTTCCACGGAAGAAAACCTTGTTTCACACCTTCTCTGTTTTAAGTAGGAGTGGTAGAAAGCATGGGTCCTGCCTTCAAGGGGCTGACCAAGCTCAGGGATAAAGAAAGTAAAAAATGGCCAGGACCCAGGGCAGGAAGGACAGGGCCGACATGCAAGTTTAGTATGGAGGGAACTGCTGCTGGGTGAACTGGCAAGGCTTCCTGGAGAAAAAAATCAGACCCTGACCTCCATTGACTCTGAGGTCTGAGCCTTGTTCTGTGGTGCCATTGAGGTGCTCTGGCAGAGGAAGAGGCTGAACTGCAGGGCAGCCCCAGCAAAGACCTTGCCATCCCACAGGGAGCCCCAGAGCCGGACTGGCCCATCAGGGTAACCCCAAGTTGAGGCGGGACTAGTCTTTGTGCCCTCCAGGGACCAGTCAATCTATGTAACCTTGGCCAAGGGCAGTTTCTCAGCTGAGATGCTTTGGATGCTGGAGGTAAGAAGGGGGTCCTGGGCATGCATTCAGTGGGGGACAGGGAGCAAAGGCTCCAGGGAGGCCTTTGTCCATCTAGTTGTTCACAATGCAACAGGCAGTAATTGAGCACCTTCTGCATGACAGGCACTCAGACACAAAGGAGACCAAGACTCAGGCGTGTCCTCTAGGAGCTTACGGTCCAGTGGGGGAGACAGGATCCAGTTACTTGATAAAAGGCTGACTTTCGGCTTCAGACTGCATAGAGAGCATGATGGGGTCTGAGGAAGGAAGAATTTTGCCCAAGAGCATCAGGGAAAACCCTCTAAAAACATCCAGTGATGTTTGAGTCAGGTTGGGCCAGTGTGCAGGAATTCACTGGGCTGAGGGGGAGAGAGGCGTGTCCCAGGCAGAGGGGACAGCACACCCTACAAGCCTGAGCAAAGCCTAGTTGTCACTGGGCCAGGCAGACGGCTTCTGGTGGGGCAGGCAGCAGCGCTCTCCACCTGGCCTCTCCCCAGCTGGCCCACAGGATCGGCAACTTGGACGACAAGGTGTCTAAGATGAGCCGAGCCCTCGCAGAGATCAAGAAGCGGTTTCGAAAGACGGTGTCCCTGTTCGTGAATTCTGTCTTGCTGGCAGCAGGTAAGGGGCATAAGGGTAGGTGACAGCCTATCTGATGGCTCCCCAAATCCTGGGTCACCTGCAAGTTTGCCTCCAAGGACAGCTCCTCCCCACCACAGGGAGGTAGACATGGCAGGGTGGTTTCCCCATTTGTAGATGGATGACTAGGCTCAGGCTGCTGAAGGAACTTGCCTGTGGCCACACAGCTAATAATGGTGATGTCCCCACCTTCAGTCCTGAGTGCTCTCCCGTGTGTTTGATGTCCCCATGCGGTTGTCTTTATTTTTCTGGGCCTCTCATCATGTTTCTGTATCTCTGTCCCCACCACCACATCTCATCACCTTTCAGCTCCATCTCCCGTATCATCCATTCTCCGTTTGCAGCCTACATTCCTCTCTCCTTGTCGTGGAAGATGTCACTAGAAGAGAAGGAAGCTGCCACCACACCAGGCTGTCCCTGTTAGGTCACGGAACTCCCCCAGGGCCTTCCTGTGTGACCTTGGGACCCCTCCTACGCCTGTGCTCTCCTCCTCACTGCTGATGGGCTTAGGGCCAAAGGCACATTGACCCCCATTCCGTGTTACCCCCCATCTGGGCACAGGGGCTGTGTTCTCCCCGGGAGTTTATCCTTATACCTAAGGACTCAGTTCAACTGTGCCCCTCCACTGGGAAGCCTTTCCTGATTTCCCCAGCAAAATGGGCCACATTCTCCTCTGGGCTCCCATAGCACTTGAATACTAATTATCTTATTACCTAGCATTGTGAATATTTGTTTGCCCATCCTCCTGCACCCCCAGTACGAGTTCCCAGAGGAAGGGAACCCTGTTTTGTTATGTCCACAGCCAGCATTCAATAAATGTTTGGTAAGTGAATAAGGAATGAGAGGTCCCTGGCCTCAGATGTTATCCGGTCTGGTAGGGAAAGCAAAACAAGAATACAAATACGGACAACAAAGAAGTCAATGGAAATGACTTAAATCTGGAAGGAAACACAGGGAATAGCGTTCTTAGGGAAAGGAACAGCATGGATGCCTTGTGGACCCAGCCTCTATATCAAGTGCAATGGAGGACGCCAAGCTTAATGAAACACAGTTTCCTTGGGGAAGACGGATCTAAGCTGCGTCTTGATGAATAAAGAGAAATGAGATTGATGTGTTCTTAACATTCAGCCTGCATTAACTGATCCACTAACCATAGTAGGGTTGGAGCACTGTGCCATATGACGGAAGGGAGGCAGCCTGGCAGGAGAATCTGCAAGAGTGGAGGGGAGAGGAAGTGAGTTGAAGGGCGGGCAAGGCCAAGCCACGAGGGAGTCACAGCAATGTCTTCTGTTAACAGGCCTGTTCACATTAAAGTATCCGCTTAAGGAACAGCGAGAAGTCGATCGAACCAGGGTAAAATCTGGGTTCCATATTGAGTGGAGCACTAAGCTAAGTTTACACCCTGGAGAAGCCCCTTTATTACGATCTCAGTCAGCCCGACCGGAATCCTCAGTGGGAAACTCTTTGAAAGAAGAGCCAAGGTCTGCCCCTGTGAGCCCCACTCGGAAGAAGACCATGATCCAAGCCAAAGCCTCAGTCACATCCAGGTGAGCATGAGCGTTCATTTCTTCCGGCTTCCATGTGTCAGGCACTGTGATGGGTGGTGGATACACAGCGGTGAACAAAACAGATGAGGCCCCTCCCCTTTGGAGCTAAAATTTTATAGGTGGGAAAAGATAGAAGGTAAACATGAATGAATGGACTCATTAGGGAAAAAATTGGGGTAATGGGATAGAGCAGAGATTGTGAAATGATATAAAATTCAAATGTTAGGATCCATAAGTAAGTTTTTATTGGAACATGGCCATACCTGCTCATTTACATATTGTCTATAGCTACTTTCTCTGTAGAATAGAAGTGTTGAATAATTGTAACCAAGACCCTCTGGCCTGCAAGGACTAGAATGTTTACTATCTGGCCCTTTACAGAAAACAGTGACTGACCCTGAGGGTGGAGAGTGATTGGGAAATGGAGTGAATGTGCCATGTTAGTTAGGTGAGGCAGGGAAGGCCCTTCCCAAGAATGGGAAGTATGCAGCCCCAGAGAAGGATGTGGAGGGAACATCAGACAGAGGTAGCAAGTACAAAGACCCCGAGACAAGAACAGGTTTGGTTACATATGAGGGAAGGTAAGATGACCAGCATGGGGCTGGGGTAAAGAAGGAGGGTGATGTAAACTGAGAATAGAGGGGTAGGCAGGAGCCAGCTTGAGTAACCTCATTAGTATTGTACCATTCCATGACTTTAAGGCAGGAAGTGACAGCATCTGATTTTTGTTTTAAATTTAACAGACAAAATACATGTTTTTTATATTTTAACATATATATATATATAAAATATAGAAAAATGAAATCATAGGTGTACAGCCCCTTGCATATCACAAAGTTAACATACCCTATAACCAAATCAAGAGATAGAACATTACTAGCTCCTTAAAAGTGTTACCTCTTGTCCCTTCTAATCCCTCCTCTCCAAAGGGAGGGTTTCTAGGGTAATAGATTAGTTTCTTCTTAAACTTTATTTAAATGGAACTATTCAGTATATATTCTTTGGTGCCTGGCCTCTTTTGCACATTATAATTGTGAAATTTATCCATGTTGTATGTAGCAGCAGTTTGCTCATTTTCATTGCTATATAATGGTCTATTTTATGAATACAGTAAAAATTATATATTCTAATGTTGATGGATATTTGGGTTGTTTATATAGTTTTATTAATGACAGACTGTGCTGCTGTTAGCATATGTCCTCATTCCTGGTTGCTATATGCCTGGATGTGGAATTGCTTTTATAGAGTATGTCTGTGTTCTGCTTCTGGTAGAGACTGTCCATTTTCCAAAATAGTGATGTCAAGTCCCACTCCCACCAGCAAGCTTGTGAGAGTTCCAGTTGCTCCACATCATCACCAATACTTGATACTGTTAGTCATTTTAATTACAGCCATTCTGTAATAATGAAATGGTTTTCCACTTGAATTTCCCTGGTGACTTCAGAGGTTAAGTACCTTTTCAATTGTTCATTGACCATTTTGGGTATTCTCTTTTGTTCCATTCTCTTGGCCATTTTCTACTGGTTGGTTGTCTTTTCTTCATTTATGTTTTGGAGATTTTTATATACTGTGGATACAAGACTTTTGTCAGTTATATATGTTGCAAATGATCCTACTTTTACTCTGGTAACAGTGTCTATAGATGAATGGAAGTTGATAAATTTTATGTCCATTTTTCAATCTTTTTCTTTATAAATAGCTTTTTATATCCTTTTTAAGAACTTTCCAGACTCAAACAACATGATAGTCCCCAGAGTTGCCTCTAGTCACTTTTTTGCTTTAACTTTTACATTTCTGTCTATCCTCTACATGGAAATGATTTCTGTGTAGGTGATGCGAAGTAGGAGCCAAATATTAATATTTCCAGATAAATACCTAACTGACCCAGCATCATCTGTTGAAAAGATTGTAATTTTCCCACAGCTCTTTGGTGCAAACTCTTATCACAAATCAAGGGACTTCATAACTATAAATCAAGGTACATTTTCTGGACTCCCTATTTTTCTTCCTATTTGTTCAGTCTTAAAAATACCAAACTGTCTTAATTACTACAGCTTTATGGTAAGTAATGATATACAGCAGAGTAAGTACTCAAACTTCTTTCTTTTAAATTGTTTTGCTGTTCTTTGCCCTTTACATTTCTATATAATTTTAGAATCATCCTGTCAGTTAAATAACAATCCTGGAATTTCAACTGCATTGTTAACATCTTTGTTATATTGGAGTATTTTAATCCATGAACATGGTGTATCTATTTATTTATGTCTTCTGTAATTTCTCTATAATATTTTATTGTTTTCAGCATAGAGGTATTTTATGTCTTTCATTAGATTTGTTCTAGGGTATTTAAAAGTTTTTGTTGTTAAACACTGTTTTTAATGTAATCTTCCTGTTGCTGGTTATAGAAAGACAGTTGATTATATCTCAAATTTACTTTTAATTTACTTGTACTAAACTTTATTATTTTTGATATAAAAGTCTCTAAGTTTTGACATATGCATGGAGTTGTCTAACCACCACCATACCCACAGTGCAGAACAGTTTGATCACTGCCCCCAACAAAAAAAATACCAAATTCCCTCATGCTACCCCCTTGTAGTCAGACTCTTCCCTCTTCCTTAATGCCTCACAACCACTGGTCTGTCCTTTGTAGGTACAGTTTTATATTTTCTAGAATGTCATATAAATGAAATTATACTGCATATAGACTTTTGAGACTAGCTTCTTTCACTTAGCATAATGCACACAAGATTCATCCATGTTGTTGCGTGTATCAGTACAGTAATTCATTTCTTTTTATTGCCGAGTGGTATTCTGTTTCAGGATCCCTAACGCTACTTCCACAGTCTAAGATTTCCTAGAGCTCATGGGTTCAGCATATAGTTGAACTCATGCATCAGTGAAAGGAATACGGGATAGGATCAGCAACGGCAAGACGTGGGTAGAATCTGGAGAAATCCAGACACAGACTTCTTTATGCTCCCTTCCTCCTGTGAGGGGACACACCAAGCATGCTCCTTTCTCTAGCAGTGAAAACTGCTCTAACATGTGCAGTGTTTCTGCCCAGAGATGCCCATTAGAGACTCAGAGCCCAAAGTTCTTTTTGTGTGCTGATCACATAGGCATTTTCTGCCTAGCAAATATCAAAGTTCCAGACTGGGAGAAAGCAGATGTTCAGCATAAATCAATTGTTTACACAGTCTGGTTGTTTGTAAGAAATGGTTCAAGTGCCCAGTTCCTAGACACCAGCCAAGAGCCAACCTTGGAAGCCGGCCCCTGTAAAAGACAGCAGCCTCAGGACCTCTAGTTAACTCTTCTCTGCAATAAATTACATGGCTTGGATGGGCCAATATGTATTTTTCCATTCATCTAAGCAAAAGACATTTGGATTGTTTTTCAGTTATGGTGATTATGAATAAACTGCTAAAATACTCAAGAACAGGTTTGTATGTGCACACAGGCTTTTATTTCACTTCGGTAAATACTTTAGAGTTGGATTGCTGGGTTGTGTGTAAATATATGCTTATTAACTTTATAAGAAATTGCCAAACTATCTTCCCTAGTGGCTGTAACATTATACATTCCTGTCAGCAATGTACGAGGGTTCCAGTTGCTCCAAATCTTTGTCAGTAATTGGTATTTTAAAAGCAGATTTAAAAAAACTTCATTGCAATGTATGTGTAGTGATTTTTCATTTTCACTTTAATTTTTCATTAATAACTAATGGTCTCTAATAACTAATGAGCATCTTTCATAGGCTTATTTACCATTCAAAGATTTTCTTTGGTGAAGGGTCTCCTCAAATCTTTTGCACATATTGAAACTGATTTATTTGTATTTATTTTGAATTAAAAGAATTCTTTATTTAGATATAAGGTCTTTATCAGAAATGTAACTTGAAATATTTTCTTGTAGTCTGTGGCTTTATTTTTCATTCTCTTGACAGTGTTTTGTTTTGTTTTTTTGCTCAGAGCAAAGTTTACTTTGATGCAGTCCAATTTATATATATATATATTTTTTCTTTTCTGGGTAATGCTTTTGGTGTCGTGTCTAAAAACTCTTTGCTTAACCCAGTGGTTCTTAACCAGAGATGATTTTTGATCCCCAGGGGACAATGGCAGTGTTTGGAGACATTTTTTTAATTGTTATGACTGGGGTGAGGGCGCTACTGCTGTCTAGTGGGTAGAAGTCAGAGATGCTGCTAAACATACACAAAACAACCCCTGCCCCTGCCACATGCTCCCGCAAGAAAGAATTATACAGTCTAAAATGTCAGTAGTGCTAATTGAGAAACCCTGGCCTAACCCAATATCACAAATATTTTCTTCTAAAAGTTTTATAGTTTTATGTTGAGGCCAATGATCCATTTTGAGTTAGTTTTTATATAAGGTACAAAGTATGGGTTGAAGTTTATTTGTTTTGCATATGGATATCCATTTGTTCTAGCAACAGTTTTTAGAAAGATACCCTTTTCTCTATTAAGTTGCCTTCACACGTTTGTAAAAAATCCATTGGCCCTATATGTATTTTTTTTCCTGGACTCTCCATTTTTTTTAGTATGGTGAGTTACATTGACTTCAAATGTTGAACCAGCCTCGTATTTGTAGGATAAACTCCATTTAGTCACATGGTATTGTTCTTCTCTGTTGCTGGATTCAGTTTGTTGAGAATTTTCAAATCTATGTCATGAGGGTTATTGGTTTATAGTTTTCTTTATTGTAAATTTTTGCCTAGTTTTATCAGGGTAATTGTTGGCCTAATTAGATAAGTTGGGATGTATTCCTTCCTTTTCTATTTTGGGTTGATTTCTTTTTAATGTATATATAGAATTTGCCAGTAAAACCATTTTGCCTGGAGTTTATTTTCTTGGAAAACTTTTAAAAACAGACTGAATTACCTATTCAGATAATCTGGTTTTCTTTTTTTTTTTTTTGAGTGAATTTTGGTAGCTTGTGTGTTTAAAGGAATTGACCCATTTTATTTTAGTTATTGAATTTATA